CAACCGGGACCCGACTGACGACTCATCCACGTTTGTCAATATATTAGACGGAAATTACACGAACCCTGCAAAAGAGATCATTTGTACACTGAATGTGGCGAACCCAATAGCATTATGTCTCCGATATTATCAAAAAAGGCGAAAGTTGCTTTGGCTGTAGGTACAATCATATTATTAGAATCAGAAAAAAAGAAAAAACGTGTTTGGGTGAAAGAATGGCTGCAAAAGAGAGAACAATTTACTCATTTGCGATTATTGAAATGTATCCAATCATGTGAACCACTTGATGTTATAAATTACCTCAGAATGGACTATGACGCATTCCAAGAATTATTAATGCTAGTAAAACCTCTGATAGAAAAGAAGAACACTTTATTCAGAGAAGCAGTAAGCGTTGAAGAACGTCTGTTGGCCACCTTGAGGTTTCTGGCAACTGGAAGGAGTTATGAAGTCTTAAAGTTTTCTTGTATAATTTCTCCTCAGTTACTTGGAAGAATAATTCCAGAAACGTGTCGTGCTATATACAACTGCCTCCGGAAGAAATACTTATGTGTAAGTACAATAATTATTTTTTCATGTATTCTGATGCATATAAGAAACAGAGTGTTGAAAAAACTTTTATTATTTCAAATTATGTCTAACAATTAAAGATATGTGAATCAGTCTGTAATACTCGTAGTACCTTATCACTTCTTAATTATTTTGCCTGGGAAAAACTAAAAATTCTTCCATCACTTCCCTATTTGCAGACGCCTGATTTGGAGTTGTCAAAGTGGTAAAAGTTGGTACATCTGGTTGACGTGTATATGACGTGCTGGGTTCATTAAAGGTTGGGTTAATGGATGTTGTATACCTAGAGCATGAGTTTTGAAATATTTGTGCTTGCGGAACGCATGGGGCACTTTGATATGATGGTGGTTGGTAACCCAGGGAAATATGAGAAGAATGTGTGAGATTTCCCAATTTTGCATGGTATAGCACATCCGAAATCAGTTTTTGGGCTATTATCTTCTGTCCAACTGCAATATCCTGTAATTGTTGACCAGTATTTTTGCCAAATGTTATTTCTTGTGGTTCAAGAACATCCTGTTGCGGAGTTTCCAATACTTTTATGGAAGCATCCAAAAATTTATTTTTCTTCTGTGTCCAAGTTGTGCAGTTGAGAGTTCGCTTGTTACGGGAACTTGGTGTTGCACTTTGAGGACCTTCAGGCGATAAAACTGATGATGAATCTAAATCTTGATCAGAATGTTGTGTGTATGCATCGGTTTCCTGCAATAAAATAGATCACAGTTAACTTTGCCTCCTATGATAGCTGTGTTATTTTTGGTTTCAGTTTCCATCAAAAGAAGAGGAATGGCTCAAAGTAGCAGAAGGATTTAACAATATGTAGCAATTTGAAAATTGCTTAGGAGCCGTAGACGGCAAACACATAGCTATCAAACAGCCCCCAGGAAGTGGTTCATACTATTATAACTATAAAGGATTTTTCAGTGTTGTGTTGTTTGCTATCGTAAATGCTAATTATGAATTTACTTATGTAAGTTGTGGAACTAATGGAAGAATATCAGACGGGGGGGTCATGAAGAAAACAGATTTTTACAATTTACTGATAACAGATTCTTTAAAATTACCCCAACCAGTCAATATGCGAGGAATTCAAAATAAATTACCCTTTGTGTTTATTGGGGACGAAGCCTTTAGTCTAATGACAAATTTCATGACGCCATACAGACAAACCAACAGTATTAGTTATGAAGAAAAATGTTTCAACTATCGACTTTGCCGTGCCAGGCGCGTAGTAGAAAACGCATTCGGGATCATGGCAAATAGATTCAGGATTTTCCTAACGCCAATAGCTACTAAAGTGGATACAGTTGATGATATCGTTATGGCATGCTGTGTTTTACACAACTTTTTACGCCGCAATAGCACTTCTTACATACAACCTAGTAACATCGATACTGAAGACATTATCTCAGGGACTGTATTGATAGATGATATGCACATGAATGGAGAACTAATATCATTAGATGTGTCCAGGCAAGGATCTCCGACTATTGACGCAAAGATGATACGAAATGGATATAAAGAATCTTATAATAATGCAGGTGAAGTTGACTTTCAACACAAATTTGTATATTAAGTTTAAGATGTATAGTATATGTGTTGAAATAAAATATCTGAATTATTATAAATATTGTCTTTTTAGATTATTTGTTAGTTAAAATATCTACTTACTGAGGCCTGTGATTGGTCATCTAGGTTATTTCCTTCTATCGAAGAAACCGCTGCACGAGACTCTTCTTGATCCATCAGGAAAGACAATAGATCAAAATACCACAATGTAGGTTCTGGTACATCTTCTGTTCCCACCCCACTTCTCTTTGAACTATTAATTCGCCTTATCTGGCGTCGGAAAGATGACCGTAAGGACGATATTTTTTTGATAACAAATTTCTTGTTGGCATCTGGAAACATTTCTTTGCTTTTGTTAATTAAATTCTCATACGCAGCATTTTTTTTCTGTTTGTTGCGGTAATCCTTACACTTGATGTCCCAAAGACAAGGATTTTCCTGGTAAAGTTGGATAAATTCCTCCCAAAAAGATTTATTATCTTCAAAAGACATTTTAATTTGAATTCCCTTCAAAAAATGCCTTGATACTTTCGTTGATCTCGGAAGAACTCTTTCGTCGCCGGACAAGTCTTGACAAGTTACACACACATTGTAAAAACAGCACGGATTGGTCGCGGTCGGGTCGTAGGTTCGGTATTCAAACAAGCGAACTCACAACCCGACCCGGACCGCTGTGCGACATGTCTTTCGATACCATACATTGGCGGATTGGTCGGCGGACAAGTCAGGACGAACCAATCTGTCACACGAATCCACTAATGAATGGGGGGCTTAAAAGCTAAGTTGCAACAAGGTTTATCTGACATTTAAGCTGTGACACATAAAGCTATGCTTATAGATACATGTATCAACAACACTTTTCGGGGCATAGGCTGTGACGTAGATAAAATTGCGTTTATCTCCTTTATTGTTCCTTTATCTTCATGCATGAGTTTACAGAGTATTATAAATCGAAAATATTAAATTTAAATTCAATGTCATCGAATCTAAATTCAAAGTCTTGATCTGTACTTTGAAAAAGGTGAGCGTAGTGGCCGAAACGTAAATAAAGTGTAATTTCAACGTATGGGTTTTATTTGGCCGAACAAAAATGAATCTCTATTAGCATGAAAACTAAAATTAAGTTTCAGAAGTTACATCACTGTTTATGTAGTTTTTTATGCCAGCGAATAGTCAACAATATGTAGAATGCCAAAAAATTACGTATTCTGTAACATGGAACGTGCTAAATTTTGAGTTTCCAGACAGTCTTTTCAGAAGTCTGAAAAAATTCTTACTGTCCAAAAGACTATTTTTGAATCGTTTTCGCGTTGTTATCGACGCTCAGTATTAACTTACTGAAGAGTGCTCTTTTCACCTGATTATAGGGTGTCCAGTTCGAAAGTTCACTCTTTGATTTAAGAAAAAAATACAAACTTGATGAAAAGAAAATATTTATTGCTATCAACATATTTGTAAATTTGGCGGGTTCTATTTCTTAAATATCATTCCGTTCAAATGTATGCCATCCCCTTCTAATCGCGCGCGCAAATTCTGAAACACTCTCTTGCAGAGTTCCGGGGTGATGTTTATTTCTCGTCGAATGCATTCTTCAAGCTCCTCCAGTGTTCGTGGATTATTGGAATAAACGTTTGACTTTAGATAACCCCAAAAAAAATAATCGCATGCCGTGAGGTATGGTGACCTAGGAGGCCAGTGAATGTCTTCAAACTTCGATATCACTCTTGTGACCCCATACTGTTGATGAAACCACGTATTTCTGTTAAATCGACGTTCTGTTCTTACAATAGAATTAGAAAAGTGTCAATCGTGTCCTTGTGTCGCTCGGAATTGACTGTCAATGCATGATCGTTTTCATCTTCAAAGAAATACGGCCCAATAATAGCGCTATAGAATATGGCCAGTCAAACAGTAACCTTTAGACCATTGATTCCCAAAGTGGTCTATATCGATCCCTAGGGGTCTATGACAACCTGCAAGGGGTCTACGTCAGCGAAAAAAAATTTGGGAGTCCATGAAATGAATATGGGGGTCCACGATAGTGGATCTCAACACATACACTGATAGTATCTATTTACTTACATCATACTATCTTATAATATCAAAACATATACATTATTTATAAAAGTACCTATGAAGTAAAAATTTATTATATATGTTTATAAAATTGTGTAAGTTGTAGGATGTTGGTATTCGCTTTGTGGTCGCAATACATTTTCAACTTGTAAAAACCTGAGAGTCGCAGTCTCAGAGCTTCGCTACCTTGCACTGACTTGTTCAATTCGTCACTCTATAAATACGAATGTGGGACAAATACGTTTATTCGTTTCCTGAATCTTGAAAAGGAAAGTGCTAAGAAAATATTTTAAAAAATATAAACAGATAGTATATCATACAAATTATAGTGAGTCAGTATTATTTTGTTTGAGAGTGCTGGAGAAGAGTAAGTACATCATTCTTTATTAAATTTTAGTTTTGTACTCGTAGTTAGGAAAGATAGATAAATTACGCCAATCATGACTTTAGTTATTAGTAGTTAAATATTCAATCATGCAGAATTACACGAGTACTCCTCAATAGTTTCTTTTTGAAAGTTTTAGCAATCGGTAATATAATTACAGTGCAATCTCCGTAATTCGAGCTAATTGTTGCAAGAAGATGTTCGAATTATGGAATGTTTTCGGATAAATCAAAAAATATTTTTAATATACAGCTGCTGGATTTTCTGTCTTATTTAAATAATTTAATTTTGCCCACAAATGACTGATGCCATGTCCGAATCTAAAAAGAAATGTAGACAGTACAGTGTTGATTATTTGAAATTTGGCTTCATTCCATCATTGCCGGACAAACAATCGCCTATGTGCCTTTTATGCAACAAAGTTTTGGGCAATGACGCTATGAAGCCATCTAAACTGCAAGATCATCTGAGAAGATGCCACCCTGATAAAACAGAGAAAGATTTGAAATACTTTCAAACACTCAAAGATAAATTTCAGAAGAGACCTACACGTCACAAAGAAATGATGATGGTTTACGGGCGTCTTACAATATCTCGTTACTTATAGCAAAATCCGAAAAACCGCATACTATCGGAGAGAAGTTAATTGTGCCAGCCGTTGAAGAGGTTTTAAAAACTGTTCTACACAAACCTGCATCTGATATCATTAAAAGAATTCCCTTAAGCAACAATACTGTTGAAAGACGTATTGATGAAATGAGTTCTGATATTGACAGCTTCTTATGTAATTATTTGCAAACGACCCATTTCTCTATACAACTGGACGAGTCAACTTTACCTAATAATGCAGCATTATTATTGGCATATGTTCGTTTTATTATGAATCAAGAAATCTACAAAGAACTGCTCTTCACAAGAACTTTGATAACCGACATTGAAAAAGCAATTCCTTTATCAAATATAATATCAGTAGCTACAGATGGAGCACCTGCCATGGTTGAACGTTATCGTGGATTTATAAGCTATTTAAAACAAAATACGTATATGTCAGGGGTGTTAGCAATACATTGCGTCATCCATCGACAACATTTAGTTGCTAAAAATTTGAGTGTTAGATTGCATGAATCACTTCATTTAGTCATTGATGCAGTAAACCGAATCCGAAGCAACGCGTTGAATACGCGGTTATTTACGCAGTTGTGTGAAGAAAATGACGAACACTTTCATCAATTACTCCTTCACACTGAAGTACGCTGGCTGTCGAAAGGCTTATGTTTGACAAGATTTTTTGCACTTGTTGAGACTATTTTAGAATTTCTGTATACTAAAGATAATATTTTAAAATAAAATTTAATGAAGAGGAAAACAGACATCGCCTATTTAACAGATTTGTTTACAAAATTTAATATGGTTAATTTGCAATTACAAGGCGACAGTTTAAATTTGATTAAAACAAAGTCCATCTTATCAGCGTTTCTTGCCAGAGTTAAACTAATGAAGCAAAATATTGGACGGGGCGAATTTTCTCAATTCCCCAATTTGTCACAGACAAGCTGCCAGGAAGACGACGTGTCAACTTACGTTCAACATTTAAATGCCCTCTATTCAGATTTTGAATCTAGGTTTGAGGATATTTTACTATGGTAATACCACCGTGGATAATTAATCCATATGGTGACATAGAAGAAACGAATGTCATAATACAAGAGGAACTGACTGAACTAAGTACAAACGAAGAACTTAAGGTTCAGTTTAAAAACGGATATCAGCAATTCTGGCTGCAAAACAACATACTTACTTATCCCGTATTATGGAATATAGCGAGGAAATTTTTAATTTCCTTTCCATCGTCATACCTAGTGGAAAGGGGGTTCAGCGCTGTTACCAATCTCCTAACGAAAAAAAGAAACAGACTGGACATCATTAGCCGAGGAGATTTAAGATTAACCCTTACAAAATTGACACCAAATGTTGATAATTTATTATTAAAGCATCAAGTTCATCCTTCTCACTAAAAATATTGACTTATTGCTTATTATTGCTTATGTTATTTTATTTATAGTTTATTTTATGTTTATTGGTGTCTGACCAAAAAATGCCCGCATTGGGAATAAGTGCCCGCATTGATTTTTTTAAAGAACTCCCCTTTATAGAAAATATGTTTTTTTTAAATTATTCTTAAAATTCAAGTATAGGTATACACTAAAATTCGTTAATTTTTGGCCTATTTTTAGATAACTTAAACGTATAAGAAGCGGAATTTAATCAAACTAACAGTGAAATTATTGTAGAACATACGTTTATGTTATAATTAATAAACGAACTCGCTTATTGTACTATTTTAAGTAAAAAACTTTTTTTTTATTATTTTTCACTTTTTTTTTATTTTATCCCTCTTTTTTTTTCCAATGCGGGCACTTATTCCCAATGCGGGCACTTATTGGTCAGACAACTGTTTATTTAATGTTACGTATATTTTACATAACAGATACAAAATTTTATTTTGAGTAGTTTTAATTTAAATTCAATTAATAAATGTATAAATTAACATGTGTTTTTACTTTAAGTTTTTAACACTAAACTTCACTACAGTTAGAAATTTACAGGAAATCAATATCAGGTAAGTAGGGGGTCTACCCACTACGGAAAAACATGGCAAGGGGTCTACGACACAAAAAAGTTTGGGGAACTCTGCTTTAGACCATGTAGCTGTTGTTGATGTTTCTCTTCTGGGTTCTTTGGTGCCCAATACCTGCTATTTTGCTTATTCACATAAGCATCTAAGTGAAAATGGGCCTCGTCACTGAAAACAACATTCTCGAGTCTGCGCTGCGTAGAAAGATTCAACATCCGCTCAGCACCAGATTTCCGTAATACGTAATCACTTTGATGGACGAAAACCCATTTTTTTCTTCATTATGCCATGCAGTGTTGACCTAGGAATTCCCAAAGCAGCGGAATGCTTCCGTACAGAACGCCGAGGATTTGCAATGACCGAATCACTTACTCGACGCACATCTTCCTCAGCTGATACAGTCGGTGTCGGGCCAGGAATGGGTTGACTAAGCATAGAGCCTTTTTCACGGAACCTCTTAATCCGCTTTTTTAATAGGTTACTATTTGGGACAACTCTTGTTCGGCGAATGTTGTATCGTGTACAAAATTTCCGAAGGGCGGCTGCGTATCAATCACCACTCTTGAACTAAGCCTCGATAGCAAAAGCACGTTGCGCTCTGGTCAAATGTTCCATTCTGACTATTTAACCCGCAAGCCGAACGCGTCGATCACGACCTCTCTCCACTTCCTCGCGTATAGGGTTGCCACGTAATTCAAATTTGAAGTGTGAACTTTCCCACTGGACACCCTGTATCTTCTGACTGGTGAATAAAAAATAAATCCATTAGTTATTCATCACTCTGGCCTTGCCCGACATGCCCTAGTCTATTTGTTGGTATTTGCTCGAAAAATAATTATTTATTGAAAAAGAAATTACAGGTGGTATCAACAAATTTTGGGGCACAAAATTATACTTTCCGCCACCCTACTTACAAGTACATGTGTTTTGAACGAGTCAAGTCAGCAATTAGGGAGGATGGAATTGTCTCATGAATACTATATTTAAACGTGAAAATATTAGTTGAAAATTTCAAAATGGGGCTGGGCGAATAATTCCATCCGTGAAATATGAATATCTTCCTGAATATAAATCCTGTCACCTCCACCCTGACGCAAATGCTGTATCCGCCATTGTTTCTCTTGGGCTAAACCGCTTTGAAAGTAATGCTGTTGAAGCTTGAGTTAGGAGGCCAAGACCTACTTACTATATTTGGGATGAACTCCAATGTTCCGGTCCTGACAAGCCCTCCTTGCTAGCATTTAAAAAAATGTCGGATGCGCATATTACTTGGACATTGCACATTCAGCATTTTATACATTTGCGTGTTGACAACCTTCAACTTTAAAAAAGGATTAAGTTAGCTTCTCTGCGAAAACAGCTATGAACATGTATAACAAAAAAATTAATCAGATCAAGTCAGTTAAATGGATCCATACAAATACTGCATAGACATTTTTTTCCTGTCCTACCGACAGCACTCACAATTCGGCAACGCAACAGACTCGGCGCCACGGCAGACTCAACCGACTAGGAGCACAATTTCAATCCTTTCAAGTTTTATGAGCAAATGAGTGCGTAGAATTACCTGGGTGTGACCCTCCATAAAAATATACTATTGCCAAAAACTGAGTTATACCCTTTTCCATTACCTAGAACCGCTAAAGCCAATTTTTAATCCCTACAATAAATTCTCAGAAAAAGGAACGTCGTTTTTGTACTGTAACTCCACCGCCACAGGATTAATTTTTTAAAACTACAAGGCTTGGACTCCTGGAGAAGCAAAAAGCTTGTCTGAAAAATTCATTAAATTCAGATGAGTACTTTCCTAACTATATAGGGGTCAATGATTAGCAAACAGAAAGACAGCCAGTTGGACGGAAGTGGGTGACATGTGTTTTTTGTGATGTACATAACATCCAAAAAACGAAATATTTAATTTTAGAAATTTTCCGCGATTACAATACTTCCTCGCCGGTGGCGTAGAAAGTAAAAATGATGAATAAATCGTATTTTGGGTTGGCTGGTAGGAAAGGCTTCAATTTCCAGATGATAAATTGAAAGCTAAGCTGCAACAAGGTTTATCTGACATTTAGGCCGTGGCACATGAATATATGCTGATATAGAATGTAGTCGCCGTTCTTAGCGGGTCATAGTAAGACTACCAGTATCCCATTATATATCTCCATCTCCCTCATACATACACAAGCAACCTACCCCTGTGTGCGAACGTTTGTTCGGTAAGCTCAAAGACATAAGTTTTTTAGTTGTATGCCCTTCAATCATATTTATAAATACGATCAATGGAGAAGGCCGACAGCTCGTGCCAAATTTATTGGAGTACTTCCAGGAAGAGAATGAAAACAGCGGGAGAGAGTGGCAGTACAACTATAGATACATATAATAACACTTTTCGGGGATTAGGCTGTGACGTAGATAAAATTGCGTTTATCTCCTTTGTTGTTCCTGAAGGGGAAATTCTGAAACGAAATTTGTCATTGAATCTAAATTAAATGGCATTGATCCATTACTTTGAAAAAGACGACCGTGGTGGCCGAAACGTCAGTAAAGTGTAATTTCAACATATGGGTTGCATTTGACTAAAGGAAAATGAGGCTCTATCGACATGAAGACCACAGGATACGTTTCGGATGTTTCATCACTGTTTATGTTGGTTTCTACGCCAACGAATAATCAAGAATGTATGCAATCTCAAAAAATTACGTATTTCACAACGTGGAACATACTGCATTATGAGTTCTCGGAAAGCCTTTTCAGAAGTCTGAAAAAATTCTTACTGTTCTCAGGACTATCGTTGAATTGTTTCCGCGTTGTTATCGACTATCAGTACTACCTACTGGCTTGTGCTCATGATACTTGATTATATCTACTGACTGGTGAAAAAAAAATATCAGAGCTAAAGCAAAGTGGGTTATCAATCACCCTGTTCTTGCCCAGCATGCCCATTAACTATTATTTGCTGTAAGAAATAATCAATCATTGAACAAAATCAACAAAACGTTTTGGGTTAACAAGGAGTGCATTACACAAAATTATACGGTGCCGTTCAGGCAGGGGCCCCCACTTTTGTTTTGAACGGGTCAAGTCAGCAATTCAGAAGGATGGAATTGTCTCATGAATATTATATTTAAACGTGAAAATAGCAGTTGTAAATTTCAAAATGGCGGCTGGGCGCATAATTCCATCCATGACATATGGATACGCTTCCGCAATGGTTCTCTGAGGTCTCTCATTGGATGGTGATTCTCTATTGCACATAATTGATAGGACCCTTAAGGGAAAAGGACCTATCACAAGTTCCATATTTAAACTAGCGGTTTTCACGGGGAGCAGACTTGTCGGGCGACGTTTCGTTATGCAACCAAGATAGCGTCAGAAATATTTATCTGAATGATTTAAAAACTGGTTGCTTAAAAAGTAATTGAACCACGATTGCAAATTAGCGGTTTCCCTTTTCCTAGCCCCTATCCCAATCCGATCGAACACATTTAGAATGAATTCGATAGGGCAGTCATAAATCAGTGTCCATCTCACAAAGCTGCTATCATAACGTGAAAAATACACAGGAGCGACATAAAACTTATAGGGCAATATGATTAAAAATTAAGTAAATGCTTTTAAGTACCGTTCTACACTATCTCTTAAAAAGTTCTGAGTTAACCACTCCTCTTCAAACCGGAACATGCATACTTTTAAAATGACTGGGTCGCGGTTGCCGTTGCTTGGACCACTTCAGATTTCAGAGATTTATCATTCCAGCGATGTCTACTGTCAACCAAACAACAGTAAATTTTTCCACTTCTAAGCAAATGGTTGGCTTTATTCATAGTTTGGAAGCCAAACCTTTTACGTCATTTTGTAGTGTCATCTTTTGACAATATACATATCTCTCTCTCTATCTATCTATCTACCTATCTATCTATCTATCTTTGTCTGTGTCTTCAGAGTCGTTCCATTATTTGAAGAGACAATAAAAATTGTTGGTGTTCCGACATTCGGCCAATGCCACTGCTACCGGCTACAGGCTAGGTCAAATATCTGACTTATTAAAAAGAATTGTAAAAAATTTTAAGTAACCCGTTTTTTATACATTGTAGCCCAAAAGTGATAGCAGACCGAACATATTTCCAATGGAAAATAGTTTTTATTTTTATGTTTTGCGATTAATTAATGTTAACTGGTCAAAATTGATTACTTATCGTTTATTCCTTTCCCCGTGGATCGGTGTAGGGTAAGTTGTTGTAGCAGTTACTAGTATCGGTGACGGTCAGAAGATGGCAAAGTTTTCAATTTGTTATAACTACGGACTGTCATTGTTTTTGTTCTTCAACAGCGAAATATGTCAAAATAAGGGTATACACGATTTCCGAAGGTTGAAATAACAGAAGTAGGACCGTTTGCTGTATATTTTCTTTTCAAATTACCGTTTTTCGATATCACAGCTTGTCGATATATAACAGAATCACGGACACGAAGAGTATTACATCGTTATTCGAATATTCGTACATTTTCGAAGTTCGCCTACGAATTTAGTTTCGATATTACAAATGGAAAATTTGTCAAAAATAAAACTGTACACACTTTTAAATATGACATTGAATCACTGACCGAACGTACAGCGATATCGGAATGTCAGATTTCCAAATTTTGCTTTTATATTCTATATAGCGTATTGAGGGTAGACTCGCGTGCTTCATAAGTATCCCATGACAGTTGCTGACGAAGAATACCGAAAAAGGCCGATTAAAAATTTAGTCCATGTGCTACGCTTCTATCCCCCTTGCGTAGAACTGATTTATCTGCGGAAGGGCGCGATTACTGTTCTTGACATGGGATAGTTCTGCCATAATGGGATGGCTTGATTTGTAAGAATTGACGATTTTTTCTTGTTTTACTTGACTTGAGGTCAAGCATTTTCAAACAACTTGATACCTGGCAAATTATGTTTTTGTTCTACATATTCATTTGTACAACTGGTGAACCGTATTTTGTATTTTAATGACAATAATGACGCGTTGTGGAAAAGGCATGAAAATATATTTCCAAATCCAGTTTTAATGGTAAGAGATTTTTTATCGACACCTACATCATTAGAGGCCATTAAAAGACATATTAAGCGATAAATCTGGCAGAACACGTGATTAGCGAATAGTTAATTCAGTGTTTTTCATTTTGTTGTACCAGCTGATGAAGAAATTTTTCTATTTGAGTTTACAGTTTTATCGTTCTTTTAATGTTATACGATGAACAAAATATTTTGTTCAATATATATTGTTTTCCCTTTAACTTGTCTTTCCGTTGTGTATTGATAATCTACTCGTATTTATATTACAAAAATGATCAAGTACGAGGGATGTCTTTTAAGTTTTGCATATGGAAATAAAACAACACGGTAGGTAGTTTTAAATGACTTTATTGTTTTTTGAAGTATTCTCCACGAAGATTAATACACATCTGCATGCGCTCGAACCAATTTTCGAAGCACTTATTCCACTCGTTTGCTGGCAGATCCAAAACGGAATTTTTGAATGCGTCAACTGCTCCTTCTGGTGACTGGAACCTTTGACCACGCAGTCTATTTTTAATTTTCGAGAAAGTAAAGAAATCTTTAAGACTTAGATCGGGATTATATGGAGGATGGTCCAATGATTCCACGTTTTCTTCCGTTAAATACTGCCTTGTTTTTTGGGCTGTGTGCAAGCTTGCATTGTCTTGGTGTACAGTTCTTTGCTCATTAAGAGGAATTGTTGCAATATGACCCGCTTTTGACACAAATGTCGCGACCATCTTTTTCGAAACACTTCGAGAACGGACGACTTTTGTTGACTTTTATTCACCTTGGAACACCCAAACAGCCGACTGTCGTTTATTTTCTGGTTCATTTAATATCTTCAAAACCGTCAACCGGAATGAACTAAAATTTGATATGTGGATTTACCTAAGTATTGTCCACATTCAAACGTCTCTACTTGAAATTAACGCATACCAGTGGCGGAGATACGGGGTATTTTTCCAAATAAAAATAGTACGCCACTGTTTTTTTTTTTCGAAACGCGCAACTTTTCGAATTTTCCCTTCAATTTGCTACAAATAATCACTTATCTGTTTTATTCCTAGAGTGCATTGTGTTTTTAAAAATAAGACAAAAATTAGATAATGAAAGCTTTATTTCAATAAATGTTCAAAAAGACCGCCATTTTGACGGATACCAGTAGGTACGGCACCTTTTTAATAAAGAAAATCGTATTTCCGAAAACTTTGTTGTGGCTTGAATTTGATGAAACTCATTATCTATTCTTTCCTGTAACTGATCAACAGTATTAATTTGTTTAGCATACGCTAGTTGTTTAAAAGCGCCCCACAAAAGAAATCCAGGGGGTTCAAACCAGGATACCTCGCAGACCAATGTACGGGTCCGTTTCTGCCAATCCATCGTTGTCTAGAATGATTATTTAGCCATGCGGCTATGTCACGGCACCGTCCTGCTGATACCACATTCTTACTCTAGAGTGGATTCTTAAAGGTTCCACTCCTCGTAAAAAGCGATTCATCTGACCACAAAACCAAACCAATAAAATCTGCATTTTGATTATGCATTTGCAGTAACCACACATAAAAATTTGGCCGTTGCACTTCGTCTCCGGGTTGTAAACATTGCACATTTTGCCGATGGTAAGGATGTAAAACTTCCTGATTCAAAATTCTCCACCCAAGACTTTGGGAAGATGGTAACTGGGCTGCAATCCATCTAGTACTTGTACTAGGATCATCCAACGCCAAATTAATCTCTTCCAGTTCCTCTTGAACAATACGCCGGACACCATGATAGCCTCTAACTCCGGAAAGTTTGGCAATTCCACATTGCCGAAGTCTTAGAAATGAACACGTAAAAACCTTTGGGGTAGGTTGGCGTCTGTTAGGAAATCTACGTTGATACTCCCGAGAAGCCGCGTAAGCATTTCCATTACAGAATCCGTACACAAAAATAATATCGGCTTGTTAAATTTTATTTCACAACACTCAAAAATGGAAAAAGACACTTTTGACTTGACTTTTACAAAAAAAGGTAGTAGTAACGATAACAACCGTATAACACATAACTTTGACAAACTCATCTCCCAAGAAACGTCATGTTGGTATCTAGGCCTCCTACTTTATTTTGAAACTGATTGTATCACCGTTCTCCATGAATGATCTAATTTGTTTTATTTTTATTTTTACGAAAACAGTACATTCTAGGAAAAAAACGCAAGGGAAATTATTTGTAGGAAATTGAAGGTAAAATCCGAAAAATTACGTTTAGAAAAAAAACGGTAGCGTACTATTTTTATTTGGAAAAATAATGCCACTAATCCCCTGTATCTCCGCCGCTGGTGCACGCTAATTTTAAGTAAAGACTTTTGAATGTGAAAAATACCTAGGAAAATCCTCATACCAAATTTAAGTTCATTCCAGTTGACGGTTTTGAAGATTTTAAAAAAAAGTTGTTTTTTATTTTTAAACTTCAACACCCCGTATCTTTTTAATGAAGTCCTCGAGGAAAAAATGTTACATAGGAGACCAAAATGCAGTCCTGTGAATGATATTTCATTTTTGGTCACGACTTGTGAATCACCCTGTATAATCCAACAAACATTAACTTTCTACGACTTTTTTTCTATGTGCCCATATGCGGTGTTTTCCCTATTCTAATAATAAAGTTCCCGTTGGGTTTTTCTATGGTACAAAACAGCTTGCGTGAACTACCAAATACTATTTATAAAATGTGCATATTATGTGTCCCGTCATGCTTCAGCTTATTATTTAATCATTTTTTTCGCTATACGAGCCAGCATAAATTTCTTTTTTCATTTTTGGTTATCGACCATCATGTGTCCGGAAACTTTTGAACGGTCGTGAATATACGGGAACTGTGCCTGCTTTTGTGATGGTTGGTTGATTTTTCAGCCGTTCTAACTTTCGAATCAATTAACGGAATAACAATAATGGCACATAAAGTCGTAAAACGTTCATCCTCTGAACAAACGAGAGGTGTCGACTTATGCTTGCGTGCCATATCTGTGAATGCGTTGGATTGGTGAGAAGGCGGCCTCTTGATGATGAGTTAACGGGTATAAAAGGGCGCAAGGGGCGTCGCGACGGCACTCTGTTGCCGCCGTTGCCGCCGTCGCTGCCGCATCAATTCGACGCTCGACGTCCGGCCGTTTCGACGCCCGATCCTCTTCCACAACAGGTGACGCAGACGAGCCGCCAGGGGAAAACACGCTTCTTAGATTCTTCAAATCGGCATCTGCAAGTGAGGTAAGTGACATCGCACAATTTTTTTGAATGCATGATAAATTTAGCAAATATATGAGAGTTTAAAAAATAGTGACAACTGTCTGTCTCTATTTTTACTATGCAATATAGATTCAACCAGAGTTTAAAGGACTTGGTTGCGCAAGAATTATATGAATACCACTGCAATTAAAAAATGGAATCAGGTAGATTGAGTACATGAAAATTCTAAGCGTCATTAGTGATGTGAAATACGATTTAAAAATTTTTTACTACTAAAAACTTCTTTGGCTACGCCTTGACATCGCATGTCTTTTTTCAACAGCCTGTGAAGATGAGTATTCTTAATACTTTTCGTCTGTTTGTTTCATGGTGTGTATAGAGATAACTGAAAAGCAATGTTATCAGTTTCTTTTTTGTTGCAAAATGCAATTTTATACATTTTCCTCTTCAGTTGTAACTAGTTAACAAATAATAGTACCCCTCTGAAATTGTTTGAGAATATGCCACATTAATGGAAGATGATTACCCTTTTCTCTTAACTTTCTCTCCTCAAACAATCTTTGCTTTTCTTGAAAACTCAATTTGTTGCAAAATGAGCTGGATATCACGAAAATCAAAGATTTTTCGAAGGGAAAAAGTGATACGAATAAAAGTAATCACCAGCTCAATTCTGCTATAAAAGTGGAATTTTGACATTCAGTTTGAGACTGTGTTCATATTTGTTAATAAGTTACGATTGAAGAAAAAGAAAATGATATTTATAGCAAAACAAATAATAACATTGTTATTCAGTCATCCCTATACACACCATGAAATGATCAGACGAAAAGGATTTAGAATACTGCTCCAAACAGGCACTTGAAAAAAGGAACACGCGACCAGAATGTTAAAATACGTCAAAAAACAAAACTTCTAACTTTTTTAAAAATTAATGATCACATCTAAAAATAGTTACTCACAATTTCATCAAAACCTGAACGATATGTTCTAAGTTATAGAGAAGCCTAGGATTCGATTTTGAAATTTTAGTGATTCGTCAACCCATTATCTGATTTTCGCCTTCTCGTGCAATATAAAAAGTTGGTCCTGATGGAATTCCGGCAATTTTATTACAAAATTGTAAATGTGTTTTATCTGATGTTTTATGTAAAATTTTTAACTTGTCACTTGTCACGGGTATTTTCCCCACTGTCTGGAAGAGGTCATATGTAACACCGGTTTTTAAGGAAGGGGATAAGTCAAATATAAAAAATTATAGAGCTATTTCTATGATCTCAGTTATTGCTAAGGTTTTTGAGTCCATAATTTATGACAAAATATCTCCATGTGTTAGGAATATTATAACTAATGTGCAGCATGGCTTTATTAAGGGAAAATCAACTGTCTCAAATCTCCTAACCTATGAGCACCTTCTGTTGAATGCCTTTGAGAATAAATATCAAGTGGATGCTGTATACACTGATTTCTCAAAGGCGTTCGACAGAATTGATCATGGTATCTTGTTAAGCAAGCTGAGGTCAATTGGCATACGTGGCACTCTACTTAAATGGCTTGAGAGTAATGCAACAGATAGATACCAAGTGGTTAAGATCAAAAACCATGTATCCTCAGAAATTAGTGTTACATCGGGTGTTGCCCAGGGAGGCCATTTGTTAATTGTCTTTTTCTTGGCTTTGCGGATGACTTTTTAAGATTATTAGAAAAACGAGTGATTGCCTCGCTTTGCAGGAAGATTTAAATAGGTTTTCTCATTGGTGCAATGTAAATAACTTAATGCTAAATACTGATAAGTGTAAAGTTATAACCTTCTGTAAAATTAAAAATAGCTTTTGAGTACTCACTAAACAATGCAATTTTACAGAGAACAAACCTAGTAAGGGATTTGGGTGTGTGGCTTGATTGTGAGTTAAAATTTGTCTCACATTGAGAAAATAACATCAAGAGCTATGCGTTTTTTCTGATTTGTTTTTAGGAGTCTTAGGGAAGTCAATAATGTTTTTGTTGTGAGAGATGTCTACTGTGCTTTAGTAAGATCATTATTTGAATATGCCAGCTCTGTTTGGCATCCTTATTATGCTGTGCACAGAGTATTGAAATAATCCAAATAACATTTCTTAAGAGAATAGGGCTAAAGCTTGGCATTCCTTATGATGACAGTAATTGACTCTACTGAACTTAACGTCACTTGTAAACAGAAGAGGTATGTTTGATATTTGCACACTTTTTAAGATCATTAACAATCAAATAAATGCACCTGATCTCCTTGCTCTGGTTGGTTTTCATATACCGTCAAGGGAGTCAAGAAGTAAGTCATTATTTCATATTCCATATCATATGACAAATTATGGTGTGAATTCTCCTATAACTCGAATGTGTATGAAAGCAAATAGTGTAGTGCAGAAGTGCAATAAAATTGACTTTTTCAATGATAGTTTTAGGATTTTTGCAAATAAAGTGAGAAGTGTAGTACAGTAATAATTGGTCTTGTTGCATCTAGTAGTGTTTAAGATTGTAGACCGCCCTCTTGTGATCATGCACCATTAATGATTTTATATTTTGTATTGTTATTTATATTTAAATGCTATATGCGTTAATAAAGAATTTCTAATTTCTAATTTCTATAAAGACAACTAGCTTGACATGGCAATCGACACACCAGCTCATAAATTACATGCACATATTATGCGAAAATTTCTCAATACCAAAAATTGCTAATGATTTGAAAAATAATATAAAACTAAAAATTGCTCATGTATTTATTTAACTTAGTCAAGATACCTATATACATTATACATACCTTAAGAAACTACAAAATAAAATCATTAATATTTTTAAGAACCTGAAATATCTTCCAGCTACGCCCTAAAATCTCATGTATCTAAAAAATATACTGAAGTAAACTGACTCAGTAAGTCCCACGCATTGATAATTATATTTAAAATTCTAGTTACACAAGAAGTAGAATCATTAGTAATAAATAAAATACGGATCAGCTTGATTTGTAGCGCAGACTTAACCTTACAGCGACCACAAATTCAAAAACATCGTAAACGCAGTTTCTGATTTTAAAGTTTCAAATTTCACCTATACATAAATCATTTGATTGAGAAGGGAAACCAGAAAAGCATGAGTAGATGAAGTTTGGGAACGTTCTGTTTTTTTTTTGCTTTCTCTTAGTTTTATCACCACTGCACCGATTCTTTAAGCCTACAATTCTTTTTCGTCAGGCATAGGTGTATTCGTATTTCAAAATTCCAACAAACCGAGCAGTAGTTTCTGAGTTAATAACTGACAAGATTTTTCC